ATTTTAATGTATATCATATTTGTGATATTTTTATGGTCAAAATAAGTAATATTTTATGTTTTGGTATATAGCCAATGTGTTTGGTTGATATGCACTTCCATGGAACAAATGCAGTAATGATTGTGTGTGTATTATAAGGTTATACAAGAAGGCCGCAAAGTATGCACCAAGGCAAAAGGTGATCATATTGACTGATGCATACTGAGGTTGATACTTAAAGTAATAATTTATTGAAAGATTGAAAGATTATATATAACTTGAAACACATCGTTGGTGACGTAGGAAAAGAAAATGAGTGATGTTACTGCTTTTTATCAAATTACAAATTCAAGTTGTTTTTTGAGCTTGGTGCTAAAACTAATAATTACTATCAGTATGTACACAAAATTGATGCATGGATGTTTGTTATTCTTATTTTAAAGTTGTCATTAATATAACTGTTTATTTATCATGAAAATTTAATTTTTCTTTCATTTTTTTGTGAAATATGTAAAAAAAGCTATATAAAAAAAAGAAGCTGTGATGATGAGGAGCAGAAGCACAATTTTTTGGCTGGGTCTAAATAATGTACATTTTCTCTCATTATTACCATATGTTGAATTATCTCATTTGAATTATCACTAGGTATGTGTACACAGGGTGTGTCAACTATTCTATATATATCTTATGTATGATGTTATTATTCATACTGAATTTTGCAATATGGTTTCTATATTAGTTTTTTTTACAAATAACATTTTGCATAAAATACTAATAGTCTAATATGCATGACAAAGATGATTTTTAAGTATGGTAAATAAGGTCTGCTCATGCTCGGGCATGTTGAATATAAATAGAAGATGCAATTGCCTTCTGATTTTTTTCAATTTGATCTTATAAATGGCAAAGTTAAAAACAGTCTGAAATGTCAGGACACCATCACTAGTGTGTGTCATAATGCTTAAATGTGTGCATTTATCCTGATAAAAATGGGATTCAGATAAACTAACAAGTTCTAATCATGTATTGTAGCATCTTTAAAACCAGTCAGGCAATTTAGCTGGTAATGTTGCTGATTTGGTGTTTGGAACAATATGGGGCAATGACAGTTAAAATCATATCAGCATCTTATAGCTTGTATCTTTTCCATACATTATATTTTGTTTTTTTTTTGTTTACATTATATATTGTTTTGTTTTTTATTACATATATATCATATTTTACTTAAAAAAACCCTACAAATTGAAAAATTGAATGCCAAAAATAAATACATATTTCAAATTAAATAAATGAAAAACCCAAACAAGGATTTTTTTTTAACCTGATTGTTTGCAGTAATCTACTTGTATACAGCTAGTTCTGATCAATATCATTTGTTATCTGACATTTGCATGCTGGTTGGCAAAAATGTAAATAAACAAGCCATGCATGGCACAGTCCCTGTTAGTTATCAAATTTAAGATATATGGTTTTGTTTATAGTAATATAGCTGGAATATAACTATGTCAGGAATATGATTTTTTAACATTAAAATGATTGACATTTGTATCTGATCGTCAAACAAGTACTTGTCCATATTGAGAGATATTGCTCTGGAACAGCATTCAAAATCAGCCATTTTGAATACATGTATATATATAACATGATGTATAACGAATATATAAAATTTGAATATAATCAGTCAAAGCATTTAAGAGATATGGCTCTAGAAGCCCAATCATTAAAACAAAATGGCCGCCAGTCAGCCATTTTGTATCCAATCTGAAAAATAAATGATGTGCATCAGAAACCTGTAATGTCTAATATATGTACGAAGTTTGAACGAAATCCATCCATAAATGCCAGAAATGCTTGATATTTGCACAAAAATGGCCGCCATTCGGCCATCTTGAACAGCATTTCATTTCCATATCAGGTA